AAAGGCTTTATGGAAATGGCAATTGTTATTGCTATCCATCAGGAGGAATCAGGCATGGATCCGACAGATGTTCGGATCAAGAAGGATGGAAATATCTTCTTCAGTTGGCATCGAGGGCCATTCGTTAACGGATGATCCGTTGGGCCTGAAATTTTGGCGGTTAACTTTGGTGAGTATTGTTAACTTAGCCTATTTTTTTGAAATTTTTTCGATCGTAACTTCTCGATTTTCGTTTCGGACGCGGACGCGTCGTTAACGACTTCCTGTCTTCAGGAGTCGACAAAAGTTGATGGGTCTCCTGGAGCTGGTGTCCTCAAACATTGTTTCGCGAATCGTTCGTTTACTAAGTGATTTCGTGCTGTTGGGGATCTTCAACTTCATCAAGAAGAAAATTCAGCTAGTGAAAAGTGAGTCCCAAAAAAAAAATTTTCTTTTTCAGAATTAACAAATTTTTTGAAATGTTCACAGATGGCGTTCCTGAGGATCCTTGTGTTGCTGGTCGTCGGTGTTGCGGCTGCTGGGGCGGACTGCGGTCCCGAGGACGGCGTCTTCAAGTGTCGGGACGTATGCGCAGAGGTGGTACGGGATGCCGGCGGCTACGGACGTCGGGTGACGTTCATCGGGTCAACGCTGTTCCTGGACTGCGTTTGTCAGGCGGATCTCAAGGTGAGTTTTTTCGACATTGTTTGTTGAGGTAGAAATAACAGCTTCCCTGTTTCTGAAGGAGGTGAAGCTGATGTCGCCAACGGTCTGCGTCGGGCGTTGAGTCGACATGGACCGTGTAGTGACGCCTTGGAGGTGGTGCAAGGAAGTCGTGCCACCCGAACCGGAGATCTCAACGGCGGCAGTTCCGCCGGTGGTTGGTGAGTTTGTTTTGTCAGCTTTTCCACACAAACATAATCATTTCAAAACACAACTCACATGACACGCTCACAACAACATAACATATAACCAACACCTGTATCCTGATTACCGAAATTTTTCCGTCACCAGTTTTTTAAATAAATTTTGGTATGTACAGATGAGCCTTGCCCGGTGGCGCCGACAACCAACCTGGCGGTCGTCCACGTACCAGCGAGCAAAACGCCGTTCGTGGCTCGGGCGCCGCCCTCGACGCAGCAAAGCATCGTAGTGGCCCAAGAGGTGCCACACGTCATAAAGGCACCGTCGTCGACGCCTGAGGTGACGGTCAACATTAAACATGGTGTTGCGCACGTCAAGGCGGACGTGGACCCGTGGACTGCCATGGTCCTGGTCTTTATGGGCCTTGGAGGTGCTGGGGCTACGTCTTTGGCTGTCTTTTTGGTTTGGCTCGTCAAGTTCATCAGGAACAAGGTTAGCCAATTTTTTCTTTTGTTTTTAGTAAAAATGATTAACAATGCTTTTGCTTTTCATGCTTGCTTTGCTTTTTTGTGCATGCCTTTTAAATATAGAGAAAGAAAAAGAATTCTAAAGCTGGATAAAGCTAAAGTTAAAGAATGCATAGTAGGATCTATGCCCAACATATTTTTTAATGGGCTAGATTCTGATGATGAAGAATTTGAAGTTTTCTCGCAGAATTATGCAGATATCAGGGCTAGATCCCCAAGAGTATCTACATTTAGACAAGGTAAACAGTTAGCATGTAAATACAAAACAACGCATGCAATAATTGTTGATGCTTTGCTTGGGGCTTTTTCTTTTTGTCTTTTCTGTACAGTCATCGTACATGAGAGAACTGGTGCGGATGCTGACGCCGGAGGATCAGCCAGATCCAGAAGCCCAACCAGTGGTGGATCTGCTGGGGCTGGAAGAGGCGGATAAACCCGTCGCAGAAGAGCAAAAGGAAGAGTTGGTCCTTGAGGACAATAATCCTTTTAAAGAGATGTTGAACGCGTAAATATAAAATCGCGTCAAAGAAAGAGAGTGCCATTTTTCGTACCCGCGTTTTTATATGGGTAAAGGCAATAAGAGAAATTGTAAAAAGAATTTCTGGCCTCTGATTCTCTTTTTTGTTTGTCTTTTCCAGCCGAATTCTTTTTCAGAAAGTGATCAGCGAATGGACAAGATTCCTGTGGAGGAGTCCATCTCTAGTCTAGGATAAATTGCAGGTTTA